TTATCTATCAGCTGAGTACAAGAAACCTCCCATTTATCAATTTGGACTACCCAATATTGTGGTCAGAAATTGGCAATTTGGCCAATTTCATGCAAACTAAAAAAGATGCCAATTTCAAAATAGGGTCCAGAATAAACAAGGTAGACATTCTTGGCACTAAAATAACATATCCTCTGTTCATTAGTCACATCTCTAGGCCCCTCTTATATTATTATTGCTTTCTATTTTGATTTTTTATTCATACAAAAAAATACAAAATTTACTGTTATGCAGACTACTGCATTATTGTAAAAATGGTATAAATAATATCAGTGCACTAGTGAAAGAATATTAGACTCCCCAGTTGAAGTGTATTGGACGTGTGGTGTGATTTGTTTACCCCTGAACATAGGTAAAAATCGAACATTTCCGCTACTTTGAGCTCAGTTTTAACCCTTTCAGGGTCCGTCCCATAGATCTACGGCTTTACGTTCAGGGTCCAAACCGTAGATCTACGCCATGAGCTCAGCTCACTCTGATAAACTGTGAGTGGTACATTTGGGCCTAGATATGAGAGAATACATCTATGTGGTATGTGTGCACCACATAAAACAGATCCTGCAGCACACTGTGTATAATGAGAGAAAAAAAATGAAATCATGATTTTTCGATTAAAACAGCAACTTTGCAGTGTTTTTTCATATGTTTTTTATAGTTGTATTTGCGATTTCTTGGTCTCATTTGATAGAATGGAAGACATATTACAGAAATAGAGATGATTTTGATTGGTTTTAACATTGGACATGGCTTGAAACTGAGCTCAAAGTAGCGGAAATGTTAAATTTTTGCCGATATTCAAGAGTAAACAAACGACCTCACACGTCTAATACACATCAGCTGGTGGGTCTAATATACATTCACAAATATGGTGATGATATTTATACAATTATTACAGTATTGCATAACAGTAAATCTTCTATTTTTTGGTGTGAATAAAAATTCATTATGTGAATAAAAAATCAAAATGGAATTTATTTGTAAAGCCTCAAAACATAACTAATGAACAGAGGAAATGTTAGTTTAGTGCCAGGAATGCCTACATTGTTCATTCTGGACCCTATTTTGAAATTGGAATATTTTGAACTTTGTGTTAAATTGACCAAATTAACAATTTCCGATCACTTTATGTTGTAGTTGAAACAGTTGACTTGGCGATTTCTTGTGCTCAATCGATAGAATAGAAGTAATACTAGTGAAATAGCTAAGAATTTGGTTGATTGGAATAATGTAATTGGCCTAAAATGGGAGTCAAAGTCGGCAAAATCGCCAATTCGTAAATATCGCTGACACATCAAAATTCGCGAGAGCATAATTTCGTCAATTTTCCACCAAATTTCGTACTTTTTGTTTTATTACCTTCACAAAAAGATTCTCTACGATTTCATAAGAAAATATAACAAATTTTTTTTTTTTTAAATTCTTGGACACTGGTGCGTGACTCCAGATTTGGGCCTTGGACCCTGAAAGGGTTAAGGTCGTTTTCATCGTCAAAGTAATGAAAATCATCTCTATTTCTGTAATATGTTTTCCATTTTATCACCTAAGACCATGAAAACGCAAATACATCAATAAATACTATACGAAAATACACCTCAAAGTCGGCGTTTTAATCCAAAAAAACAATGTTTTTTTTTTTCTCATTATGCACTGTGTGCTGCAGGATTTTTTTTATGTGGTGCACACTGATCACAGACCCATTCTCTCACATGTGGGCCTACCAGCTTTCTTCCGCTTGATTTGAAGCCGCTAGAATTATTGAGTATATATACGTCTGAAACACTGGCTCGTAAGACGTATATATACGACCAAAACAGTCAAAGGGTTAATCATTTCTAACAACTACCTTTAGATGCCATCATAAACGAAGGTAGAAGTAATGAATAATTCATGCCGAAAATTGTAAACAAAAGCGAAGTGGGGGAGTGGCTGGGCCAAACGCAGATTCATACACGTTTTCTCTGATGGCTGAGCAGAGAAAACGTAATGTTGTCCCTCCACCCGGCTCCACAAGTATTATTACCAGAGCATATAAAATATGCAATAAATGCCAGACAACAAGTTTACACTAACTTATATTAAGTTAGCAATAGAAATAGTCATTAAAAACACAATAAAAGGTAAGATACACACAGAGTACACTTATTACTTACCTTAAAATATTAATATTAATGTGTGAGAGGCGAGTGGCAGGGTGTTTATTGAATAAAATCAAAATGGCACACCATCCTCTAAACATCGATACCATGCCTAACCCTTCTAGGGTAGGGTAGGTGCCTGAGCCGGAGCTTGTAGCTCACAAGACTGTCATTCCCATTAGCCACCTTGGGGCGGGGATGGCAGACCAGAGAGGCCTAGCTTGTGGCTAGGCCTGGGGACAATTGGTCCCAAAGATGTGGAGGTATTTGTGCCTCCTCCCATGGTAGACTTAGGTCTCAGACACTCCCTAAAGAGGGAGCCAAGGCCGGGCAACCACTTGGAAAAGGCCCGGGCCAGGAGAATACCGGCGAATCTTTAATAATAATAATAATAATCCTCTAACTTGGCACTTAAGCAAGAGGCTTACGACTTCTCTTTTTATTACAGCTAACCTTAGGCGCCATCGTCAATGAGAGCCAACTAGTTAATGAAAGAGTAAACGAGAGAGAGAACGAGATACAGAGTTGAGACAATGTAAGAACACAAATTGAACAGGTAGTGGACGATCACTTGGTCAGGCGAAATGCATATTAATATGTCTACTTTTAGTTCATTCACGTCCATTTGTAAGAGTTTGTAAAACATTTACCTCAATATTTTTTTATTTTAATAATAATTACCTCAATACAAATACTCTTACATTGTGTACAAGTTGTACAAGTTAGTTCAAAATAAACAGCAACACACCATTTTTAGAATGAAGATAATAATAATAATAATAATGATATTATTATTATTATTAATAATATTATTATTATTATTAATAATATTATTATTAATTATAAAAAGCACTAAACCCACAAGGGTCGTGAATTGCTATACAAGGAGTAAAGGCATATGAAAAGAATATTTTTCTACAGTTACCCCCCAGTGTTTGACTAGAGAAAACGTAATTCTTCTGACACTACCTACACAGCTGCTTTGTAAACAAATCTCATATTTACATCAATTTTTATTCTGAGTGTATGTATCATATTTATATGCTATGTAATGGGTTTTATATATAATTTTGAGGAAAATATCATAGATGGATTAATGAAAATGCCTATATTGATGTAAAATAAGACATTTAGTGTGCCCAAGAGTGATTATTATTACGTAGTATTGGCATCATGAGTAGAGAGAGACTTAGCGATTTTTATGTGTACCTGCACACCAGCACAGTAAGTATATTTAAGTACAGGTACACATAAGAATAATTATCAGAGTACATATAAAACATGAAGTAACTTTAAAACACTTGAAATTTTGGAAAGTTTCCTGACATAATAGATGTGGTCACGGAAAATGTAAACAAACCGGGTGGGGGGGGCGCCGTATTTAAAAGACCGCTTGCCGTATAGCAAATTTTGGTCATAATTTGACATCGCTGTATTAGCAGAATGCCGTAAGGCGAAACGCCGTAAAGCGGGGCCTTACTGTACTCTAAAATGAATAAAATAGGCTATAATATGGCGAGTGCCCAGGACCAGTCTGAGCATATAAAATTATTATTGCTCCTTCCTATAATGTTCTTTGGTCCTGGGTAAGAGAAAATAGAGTTTTTGAGAGGCTAACTGCACTAGATCACTAGTGCAGTGATATATGAATATCTCAGAAGTAAGTTATTGACTTATTTCATGAAGCCCACCATTTATTATTGAAGTAAATGCAATAATATTGACAGGAATCATAAAAAAAATTATTGTTCTATAATTGGCATGTGGAATATTGGAAATATTCCAAATATTCTGGGATGTGTGTGGGAGTAAAGGGAAAGATATTTTGCAAATGTCAAAAACTTATTATTTTTTGGAAATAAGTCACTCTGTCTGACTTTTTTGGGTTATCCTAGGTTCTCTACACATATGCTGCTATGTATGATAATTCTATGTAACTGTATTTGTGTATACCTGAATAAACTTACTTACTTAATAACTAAAGATAATTGCACTATTACTTCCAGTGAGAACATTGTACTAGCAAGTCCCAAAACCACCTTTCGTTGTGCCATTTAGGCCAAGGTTCTTGTCAAATGTCATTTTCAGTAATACTTTTTTTCAGTAATTTTTTTTTTCACTCAAAAGTCGGATTTTGACTCCACTCAAAGCAAAAAATCAACCGAGCAACAGCTCATAACTCAGAAAACTCGTAAGTTGGGGCACTCTAAGTCAAGGTACCACTGTATGCTGGATTTTTTTTAAAGTATGCAGAACCTCTAATTTCATTACTGAACTTAAATTTTTTTTATTTTTTTTTTTTTCAACAAGTCGGTCATCTCCCACCTAGACAGTGACCAAAAAAAAAAAAAAAAAATCCCCAAAACAAAAGTACTTTCATCATCATTCAACACTTTCACCTCACTCACACATAATCACTGTTTTTGCAGAGATGCCCAGATACAACAGCTTAGAAGCATATATAAAGATATAAAGTGACCTGAAATATAATAAGCTCCATATAGAATATAATATCAGGGCCCCAATTATACTTTTTTTTTTTTAAACAAGTCGGCCATCTCCCACCGAAGCAGGGTGACCCAAAAAGAAAGAAAAACTTTCATCATTCAACACTTTCACCATCACTCATACATAATCACTGTCTTTGCAGAGGAGCTCAGATACGACAGCTTAGACATCCCTCCAAACTGCCAATATCCCAAACATCCTCTGTAGTAATATCAGAACAACTGATCTTCTGTTTCAACAGCAAATTTTTCACTTAAGGCTAAAATATAAGTTTTTGTTAACTACAATCAGTAACAATAAATGCAATATTATACTCACTTGTTACTCAGCCTTAACATTGAATCTGTCTGTTCTGGTGTGAGTCCAGGCATGGCCGAAATATTCGAGCTTAAAAGACCCTCTTTGCTCTTCAACAAGAATTGGAATTCTGAATCATACGATGACTCTGATGTCACACCACGAAGACGAATGCGTGCTAATAATATAGCAAAGACAAGCTGATCTGTGTGCACCATTCCACGTGCAACACGTGTGTATGTCAGCTGGAAATAATCATTCAAGTAATGCTATTATTTTACCAAGTAATTACACACAGCTTAACTGATGTATCAAAAATTAAGAAATGAAAATGAAAACTACAGAACTTTTCAAAAATTATCTATCAGTATATTTTTTTTACAATTCTAGTCATTAACAAAGATAACAGTTCAATTGTGCAATTCTACTCAAGACAGTAAAAAAATTTTTTAATAATAAATTTCGTAAGTTACTATCAACTTATGACATTTTACTATTATATAAATTAAACCATGAATCCCTCGTCGTTCCTAAATCCTAACCAAAATATTAGTTTACTGGTTATCTTTAACCATTACCACGTTGCTTTTTATTCCACTGAATTATGAATTATATCCAGCACCTCCAACTATTAACTGTGCCTTACATATAGTTAAATAATATTACAACCCATTAATTTTGCTTGAGAGTTGTGACCAGAAGTTTGTTTGCCATCTTAACTGCTAATACCTTGTACTAAACTAATTTTAGTTTATGTCTGCCCAAAATATTGTGCATACTATGGACTTTCTTTTCTTATACTCAATACCCTCTTCCCTTCCCTGTTCCCCAAGGGATAGTTACCCAAAGACATTCCTCATCATTCATTCAATCTATCTTGCTGTAAGTGTGCTGACATCACAATCAGATTACATGTACATTTTTATCGCAACATTCCCATCCCTACTTTAGAGTGCAGGCATTGCCCTTCTTACCTCCAGGACTCAAGTCAGGATAACTGGTTTCCCTAAATACCTTCATAAAAAGATTTGCTTACACTCCAAGAGTACATCCATTAAAAACTACTTTTCTCCTTTCACTTCTGTTTAATATGCTCACACAAGACTGATGGATGCTCAAGACCCTATCAAGCATCTTTTTTTTCTTTGACTCCCTGCAACTATATTCTAGGGACAACCCCCTAGCCCTCCTACCTTCCACCTCAAAATTATATACCCTCTTCATCAGCCTACCTCTCTCTACCCTCTTTACACACCCAAACCACCTTAATAACCCCCTCCTCAATCCTCAGAATTATACCCTTGGTGACCCAACATTGCCTTCTTAATTTCTATCCTCCAATTCTCTGCAAGATATTCACACCAATATTGCTTTCAAACATATCACTGCCTCTAGCCTTTTTTACTTTAGCATTCAAAACCCAAGGCATACACCCATAAAAATTTTTTGGTACCACTACTCTCGTACATTCTCCTTTTTTTCTCCATACACACTTCTTTCCGCAGACACATCAACACTACCCACCTTTTTCCCCCCACTCGTCTACTCTACAGTTCACCTCATCCTTCATAAACCCACCTGCCGACATGTACAATCCTAGATCTCTAAATATATCCACTTCCTCAATCTTCTACTCATTCTATAATTGCCTGGGATTTTTTTTTTCTTACCCCTCATCTTGTTCTTTTCTATGTTTATTTTAGTTTAATTCTTTTATGGGCCTTCCCAAATCTGTCCTCCAACACTTTTAGCCTTTCTTCAGAATTCCCTTAAATAATACTAAGTACATCTTTAAAACAAATAGTAATACAATAGTACGTAATTATGTTAAAAAAATCAAAGTTAAATATGAGCCAGTGTCATTTGTGTACAACTAGAATATTCAGAAAAAGGCACTAAGTATACAGTCTGATGCTATATAGTGATGGCCTCAGGATGCTTAAACCAATTTAAACATTCATTATTTTATCAGCTTAACTGACTAGCCTATTTCTATTGGGAACCACTTGGTGTGGCAGATATTTGGTGCAGTGGAAACCTTTGTTGATTATGTTTCACTCTCAGCAGACTTGATCAAGTCTGATGTAAGCTCTATCCAGAGCAAAATGTAGACTACATCTGCTCTGTACCCAGCATTATTTTACTATACTTATCAGCAATAGCTGCCATTCTACTTACTGCTCAGTGTGGGGAATAAAAATATTAACACCCACCTGGAAGAGATCATTCGTTATGATTGACAATCTACGAGCATAATCTGTTTGGTCTTTGATGTTTGGATTGTTGGAAAGAACATCAGTGAACACATCAAGGAAGAAATGCAGTGAGTACTGGTACAGAAAGTGAACTTGATGGAGAGCATCCAAGGTAAAGTAGATGCTGGAGCATGCCTGAAAAAAAAAAAAAATTGCAAATTTCAATATGTCATTGCATATAAAATCTTAAAATTTAATATATATATATATATATATATATATATATATATATATATATATATATATATATATATATAATATATATACATATATACATATATATATTTTAAATAACTATATAAATTACTAAAGATACTGTATTACTGAAAAATCTTACAGTAGACAGTGGAAGATACTGCTGTGAAACCATTTCAATTTCATTCATCGTCTTATCTGTTTCCTGCACTTTCAATGAGATGTCTGCAGCTTCCTTCTTGAGTGTCTCCAAAGTTGTAATCACAGAATCATCATCCAGAATTTGGCCCTTAGCATCATTCAGTACTTGTAACAAGTTCTTTTCCAACTGCCTCAGGCGGAGCTGGAACTCGCCTGAATCACAAAATGGTACTTAAAACTATGTATAGTACATTAAAACAGAAAATAAGTAAATAAAGTATTGCGAGTTTAAGACATAAGAAAGAATGCAAAATAAATGTATGATTTTGCAAAATTGTATACATATATTTTCTTTTTAACAAGTCGGCTATCTTCCACAGAGGCAGGGTTATCCAAAAAGAACAAAAATCCCCAAAAAGAAAATACTTTCATCACTCAACACTTTCACCTCACTCACACAATCACTGTCTTTGCAGAGGCACCTGTCATCATAGTTGCTGATCCCCCTGTATATATACAGTGGAACCTCAAATATCGAACTTTCTTCGGTCCAGAAGGCTGTTCGAGTGCCTTTACTGAATGAATTTATTCCCATCAGGAATAATGTAAATTAGATTAGTCCATTTCAGACCCTCAAAAATTCACTTATAAAAGCACTTACAAAAATACACTTACATAATTGGTCGTGTTGGGAGCAGTTCGATTTTTGAGGTTCCACTGTATATGTTATCTGAGTATCATAGAACCATCCATATGTTTTACATAGTTGACCCCTTACTAGGCTCAGTGATTAGCGTGTGTGATGTCACGTGATGCCGCACGTGAGTGCTGGGCTCCCGGCCTCCTCCTCCACTTCACGCTTAGGTCTAAGAACAGGCAACATGGCAGGCTGGGCTCCTCTTCTTCACACACTGCTAATGTAAGTGTTACCATCCAACAAGTGTGTTTACTTACAACCATCACATCTCCATGAACCCTCTCAACAAATGGTGCCAGCGGTGAGCGCGTAAAACTGATATTTACGCAGATGTACGGAGATTAACTTATCTCAGCCATGGACATTGTGTGTTGACCGCATGGCGGCTTAGCCTAGGAACCAGCTACCCCAAGCAAGCATCCACAAGCCTGTTTGCTTCCTGCTTACTGGTCAGTCTTTGTGTCTTAGTGCTTTATTTGCTTATTTGCATTACTTCTGAGGGGTTGACCCGGGTTTGCAAATTAAGCCAAGCTGCCAAGCCAGTATGTGGGGGGGAGTCAAGCCTTATGCCATCCAGTCTGTCTTAAGTACCAGCCTTGCGTGCTAGCCAGCTTTCCACCCCTGCTGTGCTCATCGTTACAAGTTCTCAAGCCAGTCTGTTTGACGGGTTAAGCCAAACCAACCAGCCAACCAACCCAGGCGACTAACCCAGTACTAAGCAAGCCATGCAAGTTCCAGCCTTCACCATCGTTTTGTGATCCTAGTTCTAACTGTCCTGAGTGCTTATACCATCCCTGTGGTGTTGTGGCATTTTGTGGGTTTTTAAGCCAGCCTGGCTTAGAATATCTTCGTGCCTAGTGTGGGTGTACCCAGAGCACGTGGGTTACGCCGTTAATCCAGTAGGCCTAGCCACCACGCAGTGTCCCAGTGCACTGCTTCACTCACCCACACCTTCCCACCACCATTGTTTTTCATCCTTATATCAGGTTCTAGCACCTTATTTTACAGCTCATATAGCGGGTCAAGACAAGATTGTTTCATCGTACCTGTGTACCAACGAGAAAAGCCTTGCTATGCGAGTTCTTCGAGTTTAAGCGCAAATTCTTTGAGATATTGACGTGTTGATAGTAGTAGAGGACGCTGACAGCCATGAGACTCCGCTACCCTCATTCTTCTCTGACGTCGCTCCAGTGTTTACACAGACATTTGCGTTTTGACTTTTTTTTTGTTCTCGGTGATTTCTTAGTGACATTCAGTGACTCTTGATTACATCCTGTTTGCAATATTTTTCTTTCTTTCTTCAGTGTTTAAATTTTCACGCTTTATTTTTGTCTGTTGTGTTGTGCTCTTTTTTTTTTTTATATATATATACTTGAAGTGCTTTAACATTTTTCCCTGTTGTGTGCACTATATAAGCAGTATATACTTATGTTTACATTTCACAATTATCCTGTGTTCACAGTATTGTGTTCCTTGTCCAGTAAGTTATGAAGTAAAGTAATTCAGTAACTGTTACCTTATATTCTGCATCACAACTCAGTGCTAAGTTATTTTTTTTTTCCCAGCATTTGTGTATTCTTGCTGATTCTTTTATTAATTCATTTCCCATTTTACTGTGTGTTGAACATTCTTTTGTGCTAATTCTTTTTATTTAGCCAATGTCTAATATGTCCTATCTCAACAGGAAATAGTGCCATTATTTTGTTCGAAGACAATTATTTTCAATTTGTCAACACAAGACCTTATTGCAAGAAAATTATCATAGTATTGTGCATATACTGATGTGCTGTGTTCCTGCCTCATTTTAAGTGTTAACCTTTTTCTGTTTTGCATTTTATTGCCCTCTGTTATTCTTCATATTTCATTGAACAAATTCACTCTTAGTGCATTTTTTAACTTTTTTTTTTAAAGTAAATCATTCTTTTGCTTGTTCAGTAAGTGTTTGCATTAAGCTGCAATTAAAAGTTAAAGTGTTCAATCAATTCATTCCTTTATAATTTTTTTTACTGTTTGTGTAAACTGCATTTTCTTGTGTGTGCAAATTTTTTTTATTGTAGTATTGACTCATTCTGCAATGACTTGTGCAAGTATTGTGCTGCCATTAATTTTTTCTTTCAGAAATTTTTGATGTAATGTTGTGCACTACTTTATGATTAGTAATTATTTGCAACAGTGCTACAGTTTATTTCAGTGCAATATTCTGTGATTTCAGTTTTACATTTCTTGTTCTGTGCATAATATTTTATTGTGTGTGTGTCAGAGAAATGCTTTCCCAGTCTATTTTAATTTTGCACAAGATTTATTGATTCCATTTTATTATTTTTGATTGATTTATCATTTATTGTTGAATTTCTTTATTGAATTGAGAATAAAGACAACTCACTGTGCCAGTAATTCAAATTAAAGTAAATTTGATTCGAATAAAGTACAATTTCTCTTGATTATCAAAGTGTTACCTATCCAGTTGAGTGTTTTATGCGAGTTTTCCTTGCTCTACAGTGTGACTTATTTTCCTTTACTTATGCAGAATAGGTAAGTATTTTCTTCCCATTTAAGTTTACTGTGTCATATACTCTCTCTATTATTCTTGCTTTTATGTCCTTGTGCAAGTTCCCTGAGAAGATGTCCCAGTCACTTTCCAATGCTCACTTAGTGTATCATGCCAGTCCAGGTAAACATGAATCAGCCCACAGTCCTAATATTCCCTTATTGACTGAAAGACAATACCTAGCTAGACAATGTTTGTTCTCACAGCTTGTATCTGAGATCTGTTAAAGTGCTGCAAAATGTGAAGTTCAGATTAAATTCCTATAGATCTGTGAATTACTTATTAACGTAGCCGAGCGGTCAGGCACTAGTAATACTGTCACTCCTGTCTGGAATCCAGCCACAATATTGTGCATGCAGGATAGTGTACAGTTACCTTGGGATTCAGAGGAACCTTAGACAACCCTGGGTGCTGAGACCACTATCTCTGCGATGGCGACTTGTTCAAGTAGTCGTTCCTTCCAGGGGACGCTTTGTGAAGAACATTACTTGTAATGAGTTATGCCATCTCTTGCTGATGTCACGAGCCGTTGCAGAAAGACGTTTCTGTGGCTAGTGTACTCACTTGAGTGTTGTTGTTGTTCCTTGTGTTCCAGATGGTGATACTATCCTCGGTGACAGTAATTCTTGCAATGTAAAAGGTTGTTTCTCGAGTAACCTTCACATGCTGTTAACATTTATAAGAGCAGTCTCTTCATAGCTGATACCTAGTGTCACTGTGTGCGACTCAAAATGAATACCCGTATTGTCGACTGTGTTCATTTCTTTTCCCCTGTGCTTTCAGTGAGAGATAGTATCCGTTCTCCCTTGCTCATATTGCATGTTATAGTGTTACTTTTTTCTACCGGGGAGAGTCATCCACTCCACATTATGCACTGTATGGTGTAGACAAGCGTTTGCCTTATGAGTTGTTATATTCTGCAACGAAACCCAATTACAACCCTGATGATTTCATAGCAACTCGTACCAGCTAGCTCAAAGTGTTTTTAGAAGATTCCATGAGACACTTCGCAAGTCAACAGCAGAATTTACAAGAGTAACTAATAGCCATGCTAAGCCAACCAAAATTAAAGTGGGTTCAAGAGTAATGCTGACTTACTTCAACAAAACATCCACAATGCCTAAGCTCGATCAAAAGTTTGTTGGTCCCTATCGAGTAGTTGAACATATCAATGGCAATAAGTAAAAGATTAGAGAAATTAGTACTGGTCAGTATAAAGAATCGCATTTAGATCATATGAAGTTAGTATGCGATGTTGAGGATGATAATTCTACCCAGACTAATGTGACAGATGCTGACAATCCTCCTGACTCTGTACCCTCTACCTCTAACACTCAGTCAGATGATCAACCTAAATGTCGTTATTCTTTGTGTACACTGCAAGTAATGAGAAACCCCCAAGTATCTTTTGTAGATACTTGTTCAGATCTCCCTCAGTCAAGGCATGTGTTAGCCATTGCAAAAGAATTCAATCCTCCCAAAGATGATAACCAATCTGCATATGTAAATCTTACCCTCGCAGAGTTGGGTTTAAATGTACATAGCCTGTATAATTAGATGATCAAGTTGAATGAAGTTGTCAACTGTGTGTTTTGTTACTAGCTGATCAGTTTTCAAATTTTTTTTTTTTTTGTGTTCACATTTCCTCCAAATTCCGAGATTTAGCAGTATGACCTGAGCGCGCCTGGTCTGTCTTTGCTGTTAAATACTTTCATCTTTGTAAATATACATTCTTCCTCAGAATCCGTAGAGTGCATGAATACAGATCGATCAATCAAGTCCATCTTTTATTATACTATGATTTGTTCTTATAATTCGTAATGCATTCCGTTAACACCCAATTCCGTTAACACCCATTACGATCCCATCCATTAGTTCTAAGTTATACATGTCTTTGCTATTGTACAGAATCAGCCCAGAGCCACCTGCCTGTTCAGCCTATAGCACAGTATTGTATGGCGAGACGAC